GTTAGCATACAAAGTGACCAGTTTATATAATTTTCATGCCTGTGTGTAATTGTGCTTTGATTTTCATCTTCGTCTTCTGCTGCCCAATCCCCAAATTTCTTTTTTTAAATAGTTGTTTAATGTGTGTCCCGTCATGGAGTAAGTGGATGGAAGGATACTGGAGATGTTTCCAACAGCTAGAGTATAGCGCACCCCAGGATGGTTTGCCGGATGCAATATGCATGATGGCCACGTTTGTTCAGGCCTGTCATTTGATCCAGCTTCTTGACTCCATCCTTGCCCTTGGCTCACAAGACTTTTTGCTTGCTTGTTTAAAGTTAACTTTCATTTTTAAAGATTTATTCTCTCTCTCTCTCTCTCTCTCTCTCTCTCTCTCTCTCTCTCTCTGTATACAATATGCATGTACCTATGGAGACCAGAAGAGGTCATTAGATTCCCTGGAAGTAGAGGTATCGGTGCTTGTGCACCACCCAATGTGTGGTTCTGAGACCTGAGCTCTCACCCTCTGCCAGGGTGGCAAGCGCTCTCACCCACTGAGGCCATACATCCTTCACTTAACGATTGCAGGATCCCCTCCCCCCACTTCTGGGGATTCAGCATAGGGCCTCACGCATGCTGGTCAAGCTCTCTGCCACTAAGCTGTATCTCCCAGTGGTTTGAAGTTTCTTTCTTCCCACCCTCCCTTTCTTTTTTCAGATAAAGTTGAGTTTATTAGGGAAGCATAAGAGTCACAGATACCCCAAGTAACAGAAGGAAAACTGAAAATGTCCCTTCAGGCCACCTGGGGTGGCTTTGACCTCCCGGAACAAGAAACTGATGGGTTAGCAACATTTTCTGGCAACCACACTTCAGGCCTAGGAGTCTCAGCCAGGACAGCACCCACCTCGTGACATAGGCAGAGAGAAGGTGGACTGTTGACACGTGAGTGCAGAGACCATGGGAGCTGTAGGGAAAGTCTGAGAGAAAGAGAGTGAAGGGGGGGGGGAATGGGGGGGCACCTTAAGAGTCCCAGCCTTTGCCCCCCCCCCGAACACCTCGGACATAGTTCTAAACAATGTTACTGAAAAGGGGAATCTTTTGAAAAGAGAAAAATAAGAAGCCCTGTTGCTCTGGAAGGAGAGAGGGAGGCACAACAGGTTGCAGGACCTTTCCCTCATGGCCAGAGAGACGTCCCCGGGCAGCGTGGCACAGCTCCAGGTGAGAGGCTCACCCTTAGCCAGCCTCGCTTCGGTGCACTGCATTCTCGTTCAAGGGCTGTCAATTTCTCACTCAGTGTTGTGAGCCTTGAATGATGAGACACACGGAAAGAGTTGGGAAAGTCCAAGATTTTCTTGATGCTGCTGGGGATAATCTCAACATACTCAGGGGTTGCTCGGTCCTGGTGAATCCCTGGAAGCGCCGCATCCTCCAGTCTCGAAATGCCGCTACCTGAGAAGAGGGCTGGAAGTTACTTTCTATCTCCCTTTTCTGCCTGCCAGACTTTTGGGGAAACTTCATTACTTGGTAAATACCTCGGTTTCTAAGTAACGTCAGCTTTTGGAGAAGCAGATCAAGTTATTTCTATTTTGCTCTGCCGTGTGTTCTTGATCATATCTTGAAGCAGAATTTAAACAAAGACAACCTACAATCCAGTGCTGGGGCAGTGGGATTACTCCCAGAGAGGCAGCTTGGGTTACACAGAGAGACCCTGCTTGAGAAAACCAAATATAAATAAAAACCAGTTGCTTTTAGTTCTGTTGTTGTTGTTGTTGTTGCTGCTGCTGTTTGTTTGTTTTGTATTGTTGTTGTTCTGAGACAGGGTTTCTCTGAGCAGTCCTGGCTGCTGGCTGTCCTGGAACTCACTATGTAGACCAGGCTGGCCTCCACCTCAGAGAGCCTCATGACTCTGTCTTCCTAGTTCTAGAATTAAAGGTGTTCTTCACCACCTCCTGGCTCAAAACGAGTTATTTATCATTTAGTTATTTGTATGTGTGGCAGGCAAAGGACAACTTGTGAGAGATGGTTCTCGCTCTCTACCATGTGAGTCCTGGGAATGAACTTAGGTCATCAGGCTTGGCAGCAAGTGCCTCTACCCCCAGAGCCATCTCGCTGACCCAAAAACTAGTTTCTTTTCTGCCCCTTACCCGTGTTGTCATTGCCACTGACGTTTTTGACAGAAGTATGGTTGTTTTTCCCATACCCGGAATTTATTTTGGTACCATGAAGCCCAGTGCTCCTGAGCAGCTGCTGGCAAGCTGAAGAATGGGAGGGACATGTGTTGATGAGCTTATCCCTCAATCGTTTAGTTGTTCATTCATGAAACAAATATTTATTGAGTGCCTACTTTGGGCCAGGCAGCTTCAGCCTAGATAAGGCAAAGGTCCTTGCCATTATAGCTTTTCATTCTGTGGCATGTGTGTATAGAGGCACAGAGGACAGACAAAACTAAATGACCATATTGTTGGTTGATAAATGCCATGGGGTGAGACTAAGCAGATTAAGGGAGGTTGGGAGTAGGGAAAATGCTGCAGTTTACATATAAGGTAGGGGTAGGCCTTTAGTGGGGGGAATGGGATTCAAGTCAAGACTTCAAAGAGCACAAGATACTTTACATAGTATTTTATATGTTTATACTTGATGGAAAAATCCCCAAAGCTGATTTTTTTCAGAAAGTGATTTATTTTAATATGTACGGTGTTTAACCTGCACATATGTCTGTGCAACACATGCATGTAGGGTCCTTAGAACCAGAAGAGGGTGCTGGATTTCCCTACAGAGGCTTGTGAGCCACCATGTGGGTGCTGGGAACCAAATTTAGGTCTTCTGCAAGAGCAGTGAGTGCTTTTAACCACTGAGACATCTCCATCTACTAATGGCTGAATTAAATGTTTTGAAAATTATTTTTATCTCTCTCTCTCTCTGTGTGTGTGTGTGTGTGTGTGTGTGTGTGTGTGTGTGTGTGTGAGAAAATGTATGCCACATATGTAGAGAAGAGGGTCAGATCCCCTGAAGCCGGAGTTACAGTTGATTGTGAGCTGCCCGACATGGGCTCTGGGAACTAAACCTGGCTCCTCTCTTAACCATCTCTCTTGCCTCAAAGCTTCATTTTGTTTGAGAAAGGGTCTTAATACATAGCCCTAGCTGGCATGAAACACACTCTGTAACCAGGCTGGCCTTGAACTCATAGCTCTATCTGCCTCTGCTTCTCTCGTGCTGGGATTAAAAGAGAGCACCACCACATCAAGCATGCTAAGGCTTAATTAAATTTTAACAGCTGTATTGAGATGTAATTCATATGCTATAAAATTCACCCTGTGTAAAGGTACAATTTGGTGGGTTCCAGATATTTACAAAGAATATAATCATTACCATTATCTAATTCCAGAATATTTTCATTACCCTTAAGAGAAATTCATTAGCAGTCACACCACCCAATCCTACTTCCAGCTCAGCGTCTGGCAACCATAACCTTTCCATCTCTCTAGATTCTTGGCATTTTACACAGATAAAGCACTATATGCTCCACTTAGTGTAGCTCTGTATTTCATCCATGTAATATTCAGTGTTTCATTGCTTGGTAAGATCCCATTGTAGCCTTAATTTAATCATTTAAAGTGCAGTTGAAGACTGAAACTTTATCATGTTAAAAATAAGATTCCATTGTATTCATTTTCACCAGCTAACAATGACCTCATACTTTTTAAGTATTACGAAGTCATGCATGGGCTGTAGTAATTGTCCTCCCCTTAAAGACTGTGTTGCGCCTTGGTGAGTGAAGTCAGAATCCTTGGAACTGACAGTGCTCCCAGATGCACTGATTAAACTTGGCTTGGGGAAATCAATGCTCTCTTGCTTTGTCAGGTGCCTTCTGTGCCAAAGCTTTGGGTGGTCCAAATATAGTAACACAACGCTGTGAATTTCTTTTCAATTGTATTTTCCTATTCCACATTTTGGCAAAACATTCCTTTTCAGTTTAAACTGTAACCTCGTTGAGTTGATTACTCAATGAAACTCTCAATGACTTTTCTTTTTGTCTTAATATTTTGGGTGTGGCAGCAAGTAGAAGCAGATCACCCTAACCAAATATTTGCAGATATTTAAACAAAGCCATTCGGGTCAGGGAGGGAAGATGGACTGAGGAAGCAGAAATTGAATGTGGCTTTTTAAGGGAGGGTTTTGACTCTCACAGACTTGCTGAGGAAGGAAAAAGTCTGTTCCAGAAAGGGGAAGGGAATTAAAAGTTTATCTTCTGGGTGACTGGGAACGTCTGGGCTCGGAGCACGTGTCTTTGGTATGTTTGGCAGCCAACAGTTTGTGCATTAAGTGTGTTGGACTCTCCCGCCCTTCTGCATATAGTGAGATTCAAAGTTTCAGAACTTTTGAAGATGGTAGAGATCGTCTCCAGGGCTGCAGAAAGATGAACTCCATTAGAATTCAGATAACTTCTTCAAGTTCTCTGCCACCTGTCCTCACTCCTATAGTTGAGGGCAACTGTCTAAGTGACACCCACGCAAGAACTGGACTTGTCCCAGCGGGTTGCAAACCGCCTCTGACCGAGGGGCTTTTCGCGTTCCATGGAGGTGGCGGGTGCGAGCACTCAGTGCGGGTGGCTCGCAGCGCCGGAACTGTGGATGAAGCATCCTTCCACGCCCCAATGGCTCTAACTCGCGCACCAGAACAGGACGCACCGAGGGGGCGAACAGCCCGGGAACAGGTTGAAGTCCTTATTCTCAGGTCATTTCAGCAACTGCCAGAAGAAATGTCCGCCGCGGAGGGCGGAGCACAGATGAGGGGGCGGAGCGAGGAGGAAGGGGCGTGACCGAAAAGACGGCCAGGGCGGAGCAAGGACGGAGGGGCGTGGCTCAGGCAGTGAGTCGGGGAGGGACTCAGTCAATGGGGCGGGGCGGGAGAGGCCTCGGGGCCCCGCCTCTCGCCGCAGGCGCGCCCGCCCCGCCTACCGGCTCCCCTCAGAGGTGGCCGCGGCCGAGCCCGGGGAGGGAGGGGAGAGCGGGTCACGACGCTGCGGGGGCGGGGATAACCCCTCACGTGGAGCAGATGAAAGGGCCGCGGCGCGACGGCCCCAGGAGCGGAGCACAGCCTGCGACCCACAAAGCCGCCGCCGCCGCGATGGTGCTGTGAGGCGACCGCCCGCGCTCGGTCCTCCGCCGGCCCGCGACTATGCCCGGCCGCGCCCGTCCTCCGCGCCCTCCCGCCGCAGGACCATGAGGCCACGCTCGGGCGGGCGCCCAGGGGCCCCGGGCCGCCGCCGCCGCCGCCTCCGCCGCGGCCCCCGCGGTCGTCGCCTGCCGCCGCCGCCGCCGCTGCCGCTGCTTCTCGGGCTGCTGCTGGCGGCCGCGGGGCCCGGCGCGGCGCGGGCCAAGGAGACGGCGTTCGTGGAGGTGGTGCTGTTCGAGTCGAGCCCGAGCGGCGACTACACCACCCACACCACCGGCCTCACGGGCCGCTTCTCGCGGGCCGGGGCCATGCTCAGCGCCGAGGGCGAGATCGTGCAGGTAGCCGCTCGGGCCCCGAGCTCCGCCGCCACAAGATGGCTCCGGGGGCTGCGCCCGCCGACCCCGCCGCGGGCTAGCGGGCGGGCGGGCGGGCGGGGGGAGGCGGAGAACCCGGCGGCATCCCTCCCGGGCGGGCGGGCCGCGGCCTCAGGCGCACGGCGGCTGGGGCGAGCGCACGTGGGGGCTCGGCCTCGGGTGGGTGCCCCGCGCCGGGGTGGGGGTGGGGATTCTGGGCTGGGCATGGGCGCCGGGGCGGCAACTCTTGAGTTGGCGGGACGTTCTTCTCGCTCAGGTGAAAGTCCCGGCAACTACCTGTTGAATGCCAACTTTGCAAGGGCGAGAGTTGAAGGATGGAGCAGCTTCTTAAAGGTCGCAGGCATTGCTTTCTATCTGTGCTTGCTCTTGTTTTTGGAGAGGTCAGGGTGCACATCCTCGGGGCTTTTTATTTATCTTTATTTATTCCGGCGGAATCTGCCGCCAGCCTCACCTGGACACCAGCTCTCTGGCAGAGCTCTGGACAGGCACCAGCAGGAATGGGAGCAGGCGGAGTTGGCTGACGAGTGGGAATTGGGGGTGCACTGTAGTGGCGGGGGAAGGCAGCGTGCCTCAGATTACAGGGGATGAGAGAGACCGCAGGCTCGCCCCTGGGTCAAGGACTAATACCGAAGAGGCCTGCAAACCGGAGCCAGGGTCGCTCACTGACAGGGCCTCCACCTTGCTCCATATTCTGAAAGAGGTCTGCGTCTCAAAGGAAGCTGGCTATGGAGAGTTTTAAGCTGTCCCCAGTCTTTGAGGAGGGACTCTAAACAGAAGCCTCTGCGGATGGATAGCTGCATAGATTTCCCGCTTCCTTGACCATGATTTTTATCGACTCGTTCCACTTGTGGCTGTTAGCAGGCGCACCTCTGGTGGGGGTGATTTGATACGGTTGACTTGTCTTTTAATCTTTTGCGGCCATAAAGGCCTATAGTTTGGATCTTCGGTGCGTTGCTCTTGGGTGAATCATGAAAAGAAAAGGGACTGTGTGGAGTAGCAGCTTTGAGTGTAGACAGCATCTTCCCTTGCCTCTTCCGGGTGCAGCTTCAGAGCTCTGAGTTGATAGGACTTAGGCCAGTACAGTGTGGGTCCTTAAAGGTGTGTGTCCTTCCAAAGCTAGAAGAGGTCCCTATGCCTGTAATTAAAAAGCGTTGCCTTGCCGTGCTCTAGTTCACATCTATAGAAAGCGAAACACATGTTTGGCCGATTTCTGTGATGTTGCTAAATGTGCTGGGACCTTTTTCCTTATGTTATTGTTACTGTCTTTAACATAAAAGCTTTAGAGAGGATGCTTGGCTGAAGATTCCTGAACATTTCTATTGCAGGCTGTAAGAATAGTTTGAATCGTAAATCTTGCTTCTTGTGACTCAGTGTCTTTCTTTGAGGCTTCCACTGTGCCCTGGTGGCTTTAGAAATGTTTGATTTACTGCTGGAGTGGGGGTGGCAGTTGAGGGGGAGTATGTTTTAACGTGGCACTTCACTTTTTGAAGGAGACTTTGAAGTTTCAGATTTTTATCTGCAGTGTTTAAGTTTGAGCCATTCTTCATGGTAGTTTGTCTGGTGAGCTACCCATTATGTGTAGTGCTGTGCTTTGCAAATATTCTTGGGTTCACCATTTAATACAAAATTAGCCGTTTAAACACACCATTTGTAACTATTTTATCCTGCCTAGTAGAGAGATAATGTGTGAATTGGCAGGACTCTGTTCTCTTAAAGTTTTTGAAGTGCTTATCTAACTCTTTTGTAGTCTATTAGACTAGCACCTCCCCTCCAAATTAAGTCAACAATTGCTAAGGGAAAAAATAGCTTAAATGGTATTTAATAAGTTTACCTGTTAAGCAATCACTAATGGTGTCCTTAATTCCCTTATAACTGCTGTAATATTGATGGACTTATCGGAGTTCTCTGAATAGTTAGTACTTGGCCCACTCTATAGCTTTAATAACTTTGTTGTGATCATCGAGTTGTGTGTCCACAGATGAACACAGTGTGGTTTTAGAGCTGTGTTGTGTGTACTTTATGCTTTTATTTGTGAGTACTGCCAGACTGAAGGAATTATTGTGGCTCCTACCTACCAGCCCTGAAATACATTTGTAAGGAAAGTCAGTGTTTTAGGATTCCTGAGAGGGAATATAACAAGAGTGTGTGTCGTGCCGGGCGTTGGTGGCGCACACCTTTAATCCCAGCACTCGGAGGCAGAGGCAGGCGGATCTCTGTGAGTTCGAGACCAGCCTGGTCTACAGAGTGAGTTCCAGGACAGCCTCCAAAACAATTAATTTCAGATTAATCAAGTTTCATAAGTACTTATGTATCATTGCTTTTGTTATTTACAGTGTGGTTCTTTAAGCAATGTTACTCTTAATTGGAAAGAGGGGGGGGGAAAAGCTGTTTGAAAGTTCCTCTTTAAAAATTCTAAGATAAGAAATGTTTTGTAGTACTGATTTTTTTCTATTGTTTGCTGGTGAAAGAATGAGAGAGAGAGAGAGAGAGAGAGTGAGAGAGAGAGAGAGAGAGAGAGAGAGAGAGAGAGAGAGAGAGAGAGAGAGAATGTGTATACAATAGATAACTTATTATAGCCTGGCCATCCCAGGGACTTCTAGTTAGAATACCTGTTCAGTCTTTTGTATGAGTTGGAATGGGAGGAAGGCTGGACTTGCGTGCTGTGTAGGAGTGGGGTTAATAGTTCAGACCTTGGGATGAATGTATTAGGCATAAATAACCAATCCCAAGGTCATTAGTTTAGTCTGTGTGAATACAGGATTGTTTGTGTGTGTTTGATTTTTTTTTTCTATTTTGTTATCTCTGGCTGTGAACATTGTGGATAGAATATTTGGGTGTGAACTTAATTGCTTTTATTATCTTGCAGCATTATAACCTGTTTGGGTCTAATCGGATCAGTCATACAGCTAAGTGCTAGAAGCATTCTGCGTTAACTGTGCTTCTGAAGTGTGGGCCTTTAAAGAGCTCTTAGACATATTGGTACATATTTCATCTTTAAGCCAATGTGCTGCTGTTAATGAAATTATTATCTGAAACTTTTAAACATGGCTGTACAGTCCAAATGGTTGGTGTTGTTAAATAAGGGACCTGATTAAACACTGGCTAGTGGTTTGTGGATTGGCTAAACAAACATGAAAATTTGCATTGTTAGAAATGAAAGATTGCTTTCAAGTGGAAATGCCTATTTCTCCCATTGAAGTCAAATATTAGAAATATCGAGAGCTTCAGTTGTAGAAGGAATTAGAATGATTGGTTCTGTACAACTTTAAAATCAGTTACTCTGGGTTCCATGTCTCATGTCATAAATGTCTGATGGACTTGAAGCTACGAATACAAAGAAATAAAAGTGGAAGGAGAGCTGTGTGGTGATTATAGTCTGGTAACTAAAGGTATCACAGGGAACAATGGTAGGAGGCTAATTCCTCTGCCTTGTTCCCTGTCAGTGTGTTTTTACAGTTCAGCATTTGATCAGGCACTTTCTTTTCATCTCCATTTGAAGTTAACTTAATAGGCCTGCCTCCAAAAATTGACTTGGCCTAATAGAACAATTGCATGCTGACAGCTGACTTGGATTTACACAGAAAGGGCCTGCCGACCATTTTGTCAGATGGTCCTTTATAGGTTAAAAGCAAGCATTTCATTGTTGGGGGGCGGGTTTAGTCAATTCCTATGATCTCTTCTCTGGTTTTATACCCTGAAGTCTCATGGGGAATTACCAGTAATTCTGACTGGGGATGGGAGTGTGGAGGAAGCCGCCTTAGCTCCATTGATGAGCCTTATTTTGTGTGTGCAGGGGACTGTGCCAAGCACATTATGCTTGTTCATTTTGTCTTCCTATTCATACAGAATTAGATACTATTCTTTAGTTGGTTTTTACAGAGAAGAAACTGAGGCCGAGAGAGGCAAATTTGTTTCTTTAACCTGATAGGTAGCAAATGATAAAACCTGAATTGAAACCATGGCCTGTTCTTGTTCTTGTCAAGTAACTAAAATGGATTTGTAAGGATTTTGACATTTGATGCAAACCTAATTGTCTATAATTTGCTATTGGAGATCTTTTAGGCCTGTGACCCCCTGAAATTATGCACACATTGCTCATTTTCCTGATTGCTTGCTTCCCAAGAGGAAAAGAGAGGCTCCCAACTAGTACTTGTCTTTGACTAGTACAGCACAAAGAATTTGAGTGGAGGGCCTGAGAGATAGCTCAATGGATAAAGGTGCTTGCTGTCGAGCCTGAGGGCCTAAATTTGATCCTCGAAACCCACGTGGTAGAAGAAAACGGAGTCCTGAAAGTTGTCTGTGACCTCTGCCTAGACTCTGTGGCACACATGCCCTTCCCATAAATGTTTAAAAAAAGAAAAGAGAAGAAAAGAAAAGAAATTGAGTGAGGTAATAGGTCACTCAGACTGGCAGGAGTTGGAGGGAAGCCTGCAGCTTTGTAAACCTCCATTGAGCATATTTATTTGATAGATGTCTATCAAAACCCTGTCCTTTTCAGATAACACTGCAGTGCTGCAGTTCACTGAAATAGGCTTGTACACAGACAAGTAATCCTTCCCAACTGGGCTTCTTCACAGAATTGAAACCTCATGCCCATAGGCGTCTATATCTCAAACTGAATTGGTGCATCTATTTTCTGCTAGTTCTGTATCATCCTCGGGAAAGATAAAAAGCAACCAAGCACTCATTTAGATGAAGTGCAAGAAGAGATGGAAATGGAAGGTTTGAGATAACGAAGGGTTGGACGTACTTCCTTCTGCCATCCATTGGAAGTGAAGTGAGACAGCTGCTGGTGTTGGAAGGCTGCAAGCGCAGCCCCTGGCCTTCTGGTGGGCCTAGATCTCAGGGAGACAGTCTATCTGTTGATCCCCCATAGTTGTTATAATACCAATTGTCTTTTCATAGGGTATTTGTATTCTAGAAAATGGTATCTAGTATTATAAAAGGTCTGAAGACACCTTTCT